AGAATTTTGATTTTAAAAAATATACTTACAATCTAATATATTATTCTTTAGAACTTGTGTTTTTGTTTGAATTATATAGCTCTTCAACAATGCATCAAGGTAATATTAGGTAGTTTGAATTAGATTGGTGTTGGAATATAAGAATAAATGAAGTTATATAATTATCTTTTACAACACTTATCTTTCAATTTTTTTCTTAATTTTCTAGGATTCCTTTCACGTTACGGTATTTGAATTTAGTGTTATATCAAGGTCGTTCATTTGGTGTTTGATTTGATGTTAATACATTCTTATTCATTCGATTTTACCAGTTTATCCCATTTTTTAGGACTTATATTCTTATTTGGATTATATGGCTCTTCAAGATAATATTTGGTGGTTTGAATTAGATTAACGTTGGAATATTAAAAAATGGAGTATATAATAATCTTTCACAATACTTATTTTCAATTTCTCTTTTGATTTTCTAGGATTCCTTTCGCTATTAGATAATTGTATCACTACGTTAGTTCTTTATCAAATGATATACTTCTCATATATTAAAGCTATTTTTTTATATTAAACTTACCATCAGTTTATGCTTATTGAAATGATTGTTAGTTGGTATATCTCTTGTGCCTAATTACCTGTCAAAGCTATATGTTGTACCTTTTTTTTGTTAAAGTTATCACATATTATAAAAAATCTGCTAATATGAGTTCTAAAGCAGCAATGAATAATGTTGCACGTTGTTATCGAGACGGTACCGGTATGAAGAGAGATATTCAGAAAGCAAATTATTAGTTCAAAAAATATAAAAGTCTTTTGAAAACTAATAAATCACCAGATCATGCCACCAGTATGTTATTTTACCATTAAAGTCTTACTAATTATCATTGATAATGTATCACGCTTCTTATCTATCATACTACTTACTTGTTAAGGCTGTGTTGTTCATAGTAAGTTTTTAACTTTCACCCGTTGGTGCCATCTTCAATAGTGGCAAGTCGTTGTCTCTCGATATCATTACTACAAGTAAGTGATATTTTTTACGTTATGCTTTAAAATCGTGTTAATTGATAACATACATTTTTCACCTTTCTATGTTATACTTAGTTTTTTTTTTCACCAAAGTCATCGCCATTATTGAAGTTGTTACTACCTGTCAAGTCAAAAATCAAAAAAAAAAAAACATAGAGTTCAAATCAAAATTAAAAATCAAAGAAAAAAAAAAACCACGAAATTAAAATCAAAATTAAGAATCAAAAAAACCACGAGGTTATATTTATATTGTACATGTTGCAGTTTCATATTTGAATTCGCACTAGACCAAATTTGTATGCACCGGACTGGATCCTATGCGCCCAAACCAGATTTGTACGCACCAGGCCATGTAAGTATAAAAATTTAACTTTAGGATTTATAAATTTTTCACTTTATTCACTGACTTTCTACTTGTTTATCGAATTTCTAATCGTTCATTAACTTTGATTTAGCTATCAAATTTCATTATTATTTTACTTTGGCTATGCTTTTCGTACTGCAGTTTTTATATAATGTGAGTAAAAAAATTTGTAATCTAAATAATTTTTTCTTTTATTAATTTTCTATATAATTCAGATATCAAATTTTTATCTTCAATTAGTCTTGGTCGTTCTTCCTATACTGCGGTTTCACACCATGTAAGTAGAAAATTTGATTTAAAAGGTTTAAATTTTTTTTTTTTATATCTTATATATATTGACTTTCTACTTTGACTTTTTATATAATCCAGATATTAGATTTTTACTTTCATTTAGCCTTGGTCAGGTTTTTTGTGCTACAATTTTCGTGCCATGTAAGTAGAAAATTTGATTTAAAAAGTTTAAATTTTTTTTTTTTACCTTATTTACTTCTTTGACTTTTTATATAATTCAGATATCAAATTCTTATTTTCATTTAGTCTTGGCCAGGCTTTTTTTGCTGCAATTTTTGTGCCATGTAAGTATAAAATTTTTGATTTCTGAGTTTTTTTTTTTAATCAATCTTTTAACTAACAATTTAGTTTGCTCTTAGATTTTGTAACTATGGTTAGGCTTCCCAAAATACCCGATACACCCGATGATTTTAACAACATAGTTAATTATCTTCAACATGGAGTTTTTGCAGAAAAATACAATAGCCCACTAAAAAAATCAAATTTTCAAAGATGATGCAAAAACTTCATGTATAATGAGCAAACTGGTTATCTCTTTTTTGAGCAACCATCAAAAGGTGAAAATTCTCTGCCTATTAAAAAGTGAGTTGTCCCAACCTGGTGCTGCTCACTTTGACTACTATAAAACATATACAATGATCTATGAACAGCACATCGGCATCACTCAGATTGAAGTTGAGAAATACTGCTCAACTTGCATTCGAAATGGAAGTATCAAAGAAAAATCTGACTTAACGCCTGTTGTTTTTGGTGGTCCATTAGAACATCTTCAAATCAACTTGGTCGATTTACTGTCCTACGCTGAGAAAAACGACAGGTATAGTTACGTTCTAACGTTAATAGATGTATTTTCACGTTACGTTTGGGCAATCCCTCTTAAAGACAAAGAAGACAGTACAGTTCATAGTGAATTGGTAAACATTTTCAAAAATTTTGGTCCCTCTAGTAAACTTCAAGCTAACAATGAGTCCGAATTCATTACCAGTATTTTAAAAAACACCTGCAATGCATTCAAGATAAAGCTTGTTCATGATCATGCCAGGCATCCGCAGAGCCAGGGAAAAATTGAAAGATTTAACCAAACACTTGGCCAATATTTAACGAAAATGTTATAGGATGAAGTTATCAGAGTTTAAATTTATCGTTGGATTGACGTTCTCCCCCAATTTGTAATTGCCTATAATAAGGCACCTCATCGGGCTCACAACAAATCACATTACGAGGCATTTTTTGGTTTTAAAATACGTGCGGTCTACAGTACGCTGGCAGACATTACACCAGCAGACATTACACTGGCACTGGCACCAGCAAACATTACACCGGCACCAGCAGACATTACACCGGCACTAGCAGACATTACACTGGCACTAGCAGACACACCGGCACTAGCAGACATTACACCGGCACTAGCAGACACACCGGCACTAGCAGATATTACACTGGCAGACATACTGGCAAACATTACACTAGCAGATGCTTCGTATAAGTTTTATACGATGCAGGTAAAGCATGTTCATGAGGAGGTTTTACGAAATGATAAAACTTATTAAAATAAGTTAGTAATTTATGGAAGCGTTCATCGAAGAAAATTAACGTTTGAGCCAGGCGATAAGGTTGCGATTGCTTATGATCATGATAATAATCAAAAGACACGAAAATGAAAATTAAAACAAACCTGTAGTGAAACTGGAATGGTTGTTAGTATGTGTAGCAATAATAGAACAGTTAGGATAGATATAGGTGGTGAAGTAAAGAACTTTGCTTCTAAGAATTTGAAGAAACTTAGTAGATAGCTTAGATAATATGTATTATCTATAATGTCTATATATAATAATAATACAATAAAATAGAATTTGCTACGTATATAGATAAATATCAAATGCAATTAAAAGTATTAATCTTTATTTAAAAATTGATTTTTTAGTTGAAATTTTAGT